GATTCGTGCGTTATCAAGTTGGGACCGTAAGGTGTCTCCGTGCATGGTGGGGGAGAAATCCACTCCCATTCTGGGAAGCAGCCAGAATGGTCGATATCAGGTGCATGGGTGATCACGCAGTCGTCATAGTCCAACTGAGATGCCCAGTCGTGGTTAGTGATGCACCCCAAGCCTCCTGGTGCTGTCGCGCCCCGAAGTGGAGGGGGCACGTTATAGTGATTATCTGGGTAACCTGCGCGACGTTGAAACTCGCGAGGCGTGCGTGCGTTGTCGCGCGTAGAGAACCGACTCGGTTCCTCATGGCAAGATAGCTCGCAGCAGTTCTGCCGTGGAGGCACGCGCATTTTATCCAATTGCTGAACGAACGCAAGAACGTTGTCATCTGGAGTTGCCTCCGGCACCGGAGCCACGTCAGCATCCTCTGCAAGGACAGTTGGCGTTCCTGTGTCTGGGCGCGCGGCTGGCATGGCCTGCTGTGGCGGGCTGGCGGATGGCAGCCCATTCGGATCGGGCGGAGGTGCCGGTGTCATCGCGGGTTCGGCTGCAGATGATTCTGCAGCGGGCCTCGCGGCCGGCGTTGGCTCCTTGTCAGAAGGAACGATTGGCGGCTCAGGCGGGACCTCGATGAAGTCCAGGGCGGTCGCGCTATGCCACCCTTTGCATGCCTGGATGGTCTCCGCATTGTCCAGGCGAGGTCCGATGCGATGAGAGTTAAGCAGAGCACGCTCATGCACGACACGCAACTTGTCTGCGTCGCGGGCCTCGGCTTCGTCCTCAATCTTGTCTACGAGCTGTTCATAGACTACCCAGGTGAGGGCATGCGCATCATTGGAATGAAGTTTCATCTGATAGTAGTGTCTTTCTCTCAGCTGAATCGTAGGATGCCCAAATGCCCGAGTGCGCCTCAATCAGGGAGAGTAGCTTGTAGCACAGCTCCTCGCATGCCGGACGGTATGGGTCATGATCTTTGTGCTCTGGCGCTGTTGACACTGATGGCGGCTCACCTGTAGTCCCTAGGATGGGACATTGTTGTTGAACACGCTCACCAGCAGGCGTCGCCACCGGCATGGATCGCGGAAAAGTGCCGCTGGCACAAGATGCCATCCAAGCGCAGTGGACCATTTCTCCGGCAGCTTGATTCATCAACGTTGTGAGGCTGAGGCGCCTCCTCCACTCATCCGTCATCTTCTCGCGGAGCGTGACAGCCGCTGAGATCTCCTTGGCCTGGGTGTAGGCCTGGGAGTCCTTCACAGCCTTCAGGGGTGGAGGCCGAAGCGGGCATGGCTGAGAGGGCAACGTCTGGAACACTGCGCAGAAATTGCGGTAGCATACAGCATCACTGAATCGAGTCGTCATCATTGCCATATTATGGTTGTTCATTTTGGCACGCCACGCCGTGGGCGTGAGTATGTCGTAGGACTCGACCCATTGGTCTGAAGAAAGAACGGCAATGCCTCTGGTCTGCATGTGACGGGTGAGGTCAGCAGTATGAAAATCGTACTTGGGGTGAACTCCCCATTGTTTAGCCTTGCCTGGCCCCATTGCGGTGGGGGAGCGGAAAGATCGCACCGCGTCGATGAAACGCGACACATCGACCTTCACGTGCAAAGGTATGCTCTCAGGAACGCCGTCCTCGCACTTGATGTGCGTATGTTCTCGCGGCGTCCGTTTGTGGGGGCACAATCGTCAAGGCGCCGCGTGTCCGACCGCTGTTGGTTGCGGGCGGCGCAACCGGTATCATTTTCACTCCGCGCCGAAAGCATTGAGGCCTCTGCAGTAGCGCCGTTGTTTTGCATAGGCAGGGAAGCCCGTTGCTTAGTACGCCCAAATGTGCCCGTTCATGTTGCGCCATTCCGCCATGGGGCGGCTGTCACTACAATACATCAAGGCTCGCGCCTTACGAATGTTATTGATCATGTTGCGCTGGTCGACCGTGCCCTCGGTCTGAAACTTTAGGGTAGCTGCGATACGGTCTTCCTGCGCCTTAGCGGCCTGTTCACGAAGCGTTGCCATATCGCAGCGGTGTCGCCGCCGGCTTCTGGCAATAAAATCAGAGCCTGGCCGACCGCTGTGTCGTTCTGCTTGAAGAATTCGTTGTAATTCTCATGCGAGAACGCCCGCATCGCGATGTCGTCGCGGATCAAGATTGCCAAATGCTCGAGGGTGGCGCCGCCCAGGTATTCTGCCTTGTTGAGTCATGCCATAAAGAGCGGTACGAGACCAACATTGGATGCTTTTGCGAGCTCATGGCGTCGGGTCGGGCTGTTGAGCCCATCGATGCCGTGCCCTGGGCATTTCTTGTGGCATCCGCCCTTGGCAGCTTTCTTCTTCTGCATAATCCATGTAGTGCCCGCGTATAGATGAATCCAGTGTACGCATGGCCTGAAGGGCCAGGGGGATGAATGAGGAGCATCCCCAAGCCCTCTTGGACCACGCCCATCATCCTCGCTCGTAGAGAATGGCTTTCACCAGTCGACCACCGCATAACGCGCTGCATTTTGCCTGGGGTAATTCCAGTGGGTCTAGCATGGATCCTGGAGTGGCGCCAGGGTCTTCGGCATCTGGTTGCTCACCAGGGTTCACGCTGCCCTCTTCGTGGGGCTGCCATTCCTGGGTGCCGAGATGCGGACGAAGTGCCAGGCCGCCAGGGTGATCAGAAGATGTTGCCACCGTCTGGGGTTGCGAGCTGAACCCCCCAAAACCACCGCGATTTGTCAGCCATGTGATGAGCTTGGGGCGGAATTTATCGGGCTGGCTGAGGTCGTGGAAGGCCCGCATCTCTGTGACAAGATGACCCTCGACGGCGTGGGCAATCTGTCCTGCCACATCGGACGCGGTGGCCAGGGCAGGGGGCCGCACTGGCAGCTTGATCTGCTCTCGGTCAAGGGGGCGTGCGTGACTTGGAGTAGGCAGACCCTCGGCATAGATGCCTGGCGGCATGCAGTAGCCGTCTGTATACAGCTCGATCGTCTCGTTGACCGTAGCTCGCGACCATTGCCCAAGCATGGCGCATCCCACCTTTGACCAATCATTACGTGGCATCTTCCAATCTAAGTCCAGCACGTGAGTGGCGAGGTCCGTCGGAGGACACTTGCGATGTCCACCAGGAACTGTTGCGTTCATATGGTCAGGTAACTTGCGGATATTATCCTGGACCGCGGTGTTCCGCGTGAACAAGCTTGGCATCATACGCATGGCTTTCATCAGCGACATCCATGGTGTAGCTGTCACCGTGTTGCACTCGCAGTAGGCGTCGCCGCCGACACGCCCCATGTTGTTGCCGATCTCCCCCGTCACGTCCAGCGACGCGGCGCGGGTGGTCTCGACGAGGGCGGTGCCGTCTGGCACGCGCAAGAGGTACTCGGCGCTGTTGCCCAGGCGGCGCTGGTGAAGGAAGTGGTATCCTTCGTCATATCCACGATGGCGGCCTGTTTGATCATGGAACGCGAGCCCCACACGGTCATTGTCATCGGCCTTGGGATTGTGGCGGGCGTCGCCGCCGACGGCCCAGCCCACGAGGTGGAGAGGTGGAGCCTGATGCATCTCTGGTAGGGGGAAACCGGGGGTAGAACCGATCCCCTGGACGTTAGTCCCGCGCGGTGCGAGCAAGATGCTGGTAAGCGTAGTTGTTCGAGTCGGAACACAGCTGCGGGAACAACATGATCGTATCACGAGGGTCCGAGATCGTTGCTCTTGACTCTGCACTACGACTCAAGGGACTTCCACTGCTTTCCTTCTGGGAGGCCGTGGTGGAGGTTGCCAGCACCTACACAGAGAAGACCAACTGCCTAGGATGCTCGGGACGTGTCGCCACGACGATATGCCCGACCCTGGCCGCCAAAAAGAAGAGGCGCAAGGCATCGCCTCGTGAGGCGTCCCCTACAAGGGGATCTTCTCCTAGCCGTAGATGCTGTGGTTGCCACAAGCCGCACTCCACTACCATGCAACCTCCTGAGGGTTGTCACGAGAATGACTGATGCTTTTGACCGCGGGCAAAAAGCGACAGCACCACAGTCTAAATACTTGAGCCAAACAACGTCGGTAACGACAGTTGCCCGACTTAACTGTATCCCAATGCTTCTGATTCAATTGCAGGACCATGTTTAAACACCTCCTCCTCGTCATCTTCACCCTCCTCCTCATCCTCCTCTTCCTTCTCCTCCTCCGCCCTCCCACGCGGGCGAAGACGATGTCGGGATCACGACCTCCCTCAATTCAAACCACTCGCTGAGCTGCCACGGGGTGTGAACTCGACCTCTTTCTTACCGCGCGGACGAAAACAGGGTCGAATTCACGACCCGTCCTTGTCTGGGTAGTCGAGCCAATCTGGCGCCAATCTGGCAGGCCCAATCTGGCAAACGGGGGCAATCTGGCGAGGGAGCCAACGCGAATCCAGTCTGGCGAATAACCCAAATCATCCAGTTTGGCCGGGCCAGATTGGCCCTTGGGGCCCAATCCAATCTGACAGTCTGGCCTTCGACTACCCAGCCCTTGTCATACCGCTTGTCGGAATTGCACTGTCGATGTTCGCTTCCTCTCCCTCCTGCAGCGCTGTTGCACAGGTACGGTGGCTGGGCTTGCCGCAGGCAGCTAGACAGATTGGATCCACGCGCGCGGGCTGCGGTTCTAGCCAAGAGATTCGCATCGAAGGTCGCCGTTGTTGACGACAACTGGAGAGCTCGCGATCGGCTAGCACGCGCGTGCGCCACGCACAACGTGCACCTTCGGGCCAACCCGCGCACCCCGGTACAAGAACACGGGGCGCACCACGATCACCATGCCCCCCGAGCACACCAGCCTCCCTCCCTCCTCATCGCCCTCCTTGCCGCGCACCACGATCACCATGCCCCCCGAGCACACCAGCCTCCCTCCCTCCTCACCGCCCTCCTTGCCCGCGCCCCCCTCCCCCTATTCCATTCTTCCTGACTCTCCTGCCTCCCAGATCGATGCGACGGCCATCGGAGAAGGAAGGGCGAGAAGGTAAGACGGAACGTCTTGTCTCCTTTTGTCCGAGCCGCGTCTCCTTCGAAACACGCACGATCTAAAGAGCGCCCCGCCAAGGGAGCGCTTGAGATCATGAAGCTGCGCTATTTCGGCGCGTGCTTCAATCCGACGGATCCCACTCGCTGGGGGTGCGAAGGCGTGTGAGGCATGTGCCTTTGAATCGAGGCTAACCGATGCGAATCGACATTGGTCGACGCTAGTTTTTCGTCGGGCGTGTCCCCCTACAGACGGATCCTGAACGAAGCAAAGTATTCAAAGAGTATTCAAGCATAGAACAATACTAAAAATAATCGTTCCCGTGCTATGTTTGACTATTGTTGAGTATTCCTCCTGCGGAGGGACATGCCCGACATAAAGCTATACCGACGCTAATACTAGGGAGCCCACAAAGGACGTACGCGCCCAGCTATGTACATGAACACGGCCCCTCGATTCGCGAGACCGGCCGCGTGATACGAACATTTGTGCAATGCGTGCTCTCGAAACCAGCGTGGATTCATGTACATGTACGTCCTTCTTTCGCTCCTGAAATACGGCGCTTCCTCATCGCTTACCATACGCTAGCGCACGCGAATGCACTCTAAAGATTGCGTCTCGAGGACACACGGGGCTCCCATGAGCTACTTCCGAACAAGACGGCCACAACTTTTTCACCAGAGCGGCCCAAGAGGGGGAACTCGGAGGGAGCCCGAGAGCGCCACCCCACGAAATGACCCCCGAGATGCCTATCACGCCTCCGAGGGGACCCAAAGAAGGCCCTGCCCCAACAGCCCCCATCCGGACGCGAAAACCTTGAAAAGGCTGTCACAAATCTTACGGAGACCCCTGGAAGGCCCCCAAGAAGACCCGCAACAGACAGGCAGGGAGGAAGGAAAGACAAATCCGCAACAACTACATTTCAACAGAACGCAACAAATTCAGCTCCTCTTCCGGGGCTCGGCGGAATGGCGGCGCAAGCTTTTCTGAGCAAATTGCACGCATGCAAAAAGATCACACCCGATGCCCTCAGACCTTGTCCTGCACGTGTGCGGGAAGAGGGGACCAAAAAATGACACAAACATAAAAACTCGGAGAACCGCGCGGATTTCTTGGATCCGCGCTGGGCCTCCCCCCCTCTCCCTGGCGCGCCGAGCGCGCCAGGGGCGGCGCCGGAGGCGCCGCCAGGGGGCCCCAGCGCCGATCCGAAAAATCCGCGCGGAACTCCGAGTGTTTTTGTTTTGTTGATTCCCTACCTAGGCTCTGCCTAAAGGGTTCTTACTCTCTTAGCTTAAAGGGGCCGGGCAATGTAACACGCCCCGGGCGGTTCCCCCGGTCCCCGCCCCGCGGTTCCCCCAGTCCCCTGGGAGCTTTAGCTTTAGCTTTAGCTTTAGCTTAGCTTTAGCTTAACTTTAGCTTAGCTTTAGCTTAGCTTTAGCTTAGCTTCAGCTTAGCTTTAGCTTAGCTTTAGCTCAGCTTTAGTTTGGCTTTAGATCAACTTTATATTAGCTTTAGCTTAGCTTTAGCTTAGCTTCAGTTTAGTTGTAGCTTTAGCTTAGCTTTAGCTTTAACTTTAGCTTAGCTCAGCTAAATATTAGCTTTAGCTTTAGCTTAGCTGTAGCTTAGCTTTAGCTTAGCTCTAGCTTAGCTCTAGCTTAGCTTTAGCTTTAGCTTTAGCTTAGCTTGAGCTTAGCTTTAGCTTAGCTCTAGCTTAGCTCTAGCATGGTTTTAGCTTTGATTTAGCTAAGCTTTAGCTAAGATTTAGCTAAGATTTAGCTAAGCTTTAGCTTAGCTTTAGCTTAGCTTTAGCTTAACTTTAGCTTAGCTTTACTCTTACTACTAATGCTGCTTTCCTAGGGGCTCCAACTCCTAGGTAGGGTCGCACTGGGATAATGTCATTGTTCGCCCCCCCCCTAGGTCGGCGGTGGACAAACCTCCCTTTAGCAAACCTCCCCTTAGTGAAAACGGCCTGGGACCGAAATCGCCGCATCTGGACCCGCAAAAATGACGGGCGCGACGCCCTCTCGCGAACCGAAAACGGCCAATTCCTTAATCGACGTGGCAGGGTAGGTCTATCCACCTCCGACTAGGGAAGGAGGGGAGGGACGGGCAGAGAAAAGATCACGTGGAGGGCAAGCCTCAGGCAGCGCCTCTGGATCCTCGGTCTGCCCCCTCGGTCTGCGCCCGGGGGGGGCCTACCACGTGCGCTCACGCCTTGCGCTTGGGCTTGGGCTTCCCCCTCTTCTGAGCGCTGCTGCCGTCCTTCCCCTGGCCGCCGCCTTTCAAGGGCACGCAGCTCTGCTCCCAGTACGACTCGAGCTCGCTGTCGCTGTACTGATCCTTCCGGAGGAGCGAGACACTTCACGAACCAGAACTTCTGGGAGGCTCGCGCGAACATATTGGGTCGGCGCCGGACGCGCCTCCCGGGCGGGCCAGCGCCGACCCAGCAGATCCGCCCGGGCCTCCGAAGACCAAAAAGAGCTTCCCCGGCCCGACGCTGCCTGCACGTAATGGGAGCCCCTTCTCTTCCTGCGTGCTCGGGTGGGCTTCCAACTTGTGTCCCGTCCCCGCCCGCGGGCGCCTCATGGAAGGCGCCTCGTGCGCTGGCTGGATTCTCAAGTGAATCGCCGCCAGTAGGCGCATGGTGGGCACCCCGTGCTTTGGCTGTGGTTTCCCAGTGTATGCCTTGTCGTCGCAGGTGGGCACCCCGTGGGCTGGCCGGCGCTTCGATCGCGTCACGTTGATGGTGCCCAAACGCTTCTTGTTCCACTCATCCGCATGCCGCTTGCCGTGATCACAAACAAAGCCCAGCTCTGTGTATTCCTCCGATGCAGCATGCGTGTACACATGTTCGCTTCGCGAGATCTGTTTCTGCATATGCATACACCTAATCACGCGTGCTACGCGCGCGCTGAGTTTCTGGCCACAACTAAACCATAGCTCTCGCTTTCGCCCGTGTCATGGGAGACGCTGTGAGGCTCCCCGCATGTCGGTTTTGCGGAACCTCCGTCCACCTCGGCCCTCTCCTGCTCTCGTCTCTCTCGGTCCTCGCCTCTGCTGTGGTCCCTCTCCTCCTCCCCCTCTCTGCTCTCCCCGTGGGCGTCCCTTTCCCCTCTACCTGCTCCCTCTTTGTTCATCTGTGGTTCTCCTCCTCATCTTCCTCCTCCTTTCTCCTCCTCCTCCTCCTCCTCCTCCTCGTCCTCCTCCTCCTCCTCCTCCTCCTCCTCCTCCTCCTCCTCCTCCTCCTCCTCCTCCCCTTCTCTGCTCTCACCGTGGGTGCCCCTTTCCCCTCTACCTGCTCCCTCTGTGTTCCTCTGTGGTCATCCTCCTCATCTTCCTCCTCCTCTTCCTCCTTTCTACCCCTCCTCTGTGTTCCTCTGTGGTCCTCCTCCTCCTTTCTACCCCTCCCCCTCGCGTTCCTCCTCCTCCTCCTCCTCCTCCTCCTCCTCCTCCTCCTATCTACCCCTCCTCCCTGCGTTCTCTTTATCCCTCTGTGGTCCTCCTCCTCCTCCTCCTCCTGCCTCCTCCTTGTCCCTGCCCCTCCTTCTCATCTTGCCCGTCCTCCGCCTGTTCATGTTTCTCCTCCTCCCCCCTCCCATCTACTCCTCCTCTTTAACCTCGATCACAAGGCCGTCGCATGCCTAGAGGGGGGGGGGGGGGGGGAAAAACGTCGAGGTTCGAGAAATGTCGGACTTTGATACTCCGGGAGGGCTCAGGGAAGCGTAATTAGGCGAGGATTGCGAAGCTAAGGGTGGGATGGGAATCTGGCTGCTGCTGATGAAGGGGCACCTGCGGGTCCCGGCGCCCCACTTCGCACAAAGACGCTGCCCTCCTCGGATCGGACTTCGCCGCGGGCCACCCGCCCGCGCGGGTGCCAGCCGCAGGATGGGGGTTCCGCGGGTCCTAGGACCCGCGGAACCCCGGGGACGTGGCGAGGCGCTGCCCCAGCCGAGGCGTCCGCGGGCCGGGGGCGGGAGGCAGGAGAACGAAGCGGAGAAGAGTGAGGCTCTACGGTGGCGAGCCTTCCAGAACTGGAGCAGCCCTGCGTGGCGGAGCTCTGAGGAGGAAGGCAGTGCCACCCCGCCTGCTCATCCGCACTGGGCGGGCAGGAGCATCCGTGCGAGGGAGGTCTGGACCTGGGCGCGAGGCTGGGCCCGAGATGCGGGCCAGCGAGGCGTCGCGGTGGGAACCGCGGTGAAGATGTACGACGACCCACGCGCCAAGAGAGGGATTCGTCCGGAGCACGACACGAGGAGGAGCGAGGTGCAGGCAGCTCGTCTTCAGGAGGCGCGGACGGGGCTGTAGGTTTTGGTGGTTGTGCTTCGAGCGCGGCAGCTTCTCACCATGGATGCTCAGGAACGGCGGGGCGCAGACCTATGACGGCGGCCAGGAGGAGCTCCTGACGAGCCCTAGTGGGAGCGCGAAGGCACTCAGATGGCAATTTCCGCGGGCGAGCTGATCCTCGCGGTGGCGGACCCGGAGTGACTGCCGACGGCCGAGCACCCCGCCCCGGACGGCACGTGCCCGGAGGCGTGCGAGCGGGGAATCCGCCGATCCGGCGTGGGAGTTTAAGAAGTCGAAGCTGAAGCTCTGCTTGAGCATGAGCCTTAGCTCTGCTTGGGAGGGGGGAGGGGGGACGAAATTAACTGACGAAGTTCAATGCTCGGCACCTCCCCCCCCCTGCCAGCCCCCAGGAGA